TCTTCATTTGTACAACAAATATTTATTGAGCACCTGTTATGTGGCAGACACTGTTCTAGGAATACAGGAATGAATTAGGGATATAACCATGGACAAAACAGACCAAAATCACTGCTTTCATGGAGCTTACATTCTGCTGGGATAAATCAAACAATAACCAATAAAAATCAAAATACATTATAGATGGTAATAAGTACTGTGGATTAAAATAAAGCAGGGAAGAAGGATAGGGAATAGCAGGTGGGCCATGGAGATAATTTTAAATAGGTTGGTAAAAGAACGCCTCTCTGGGAAGTTGGTATTTGAGGAAAATGTGATGGAGGGGAGTGAGCGGGTCCTGTAGCGGTGGCTGGGAAAAGAGCAGTGCAGGCAAGAGGAATACGGTAGCTAGTATACAGTAAGGCTCTGAGGCAGCGCCATTCCTGGTGAGAACAGAAGCAGGTCTGGGTGTGGGGGTCCAGGAGTCATAGTAAGTACTTTGGCTTTTACTGAATGAGATAGGGAGTCCTTGGAGAGTTTTAATGCAACTTATTTACAGGTATCAGTCTATCTTGGTTTATTTGAGCGAATGCTTTTACTTTTATTCTTTTTCTAGTTGGAAGAATTAGGTTTCTGTTGCTTATAATTGAAAAAATTCTGGGCCGGCCCCGTGGCTTAGCGGTTAAGTGCGCGCGCTCTGCTGTTGGCGGCCCGGGTTCGGATCCCTGGCGAGCACCGACACACCGCTTCTCCGGCCATGCTGAGGCCGCGTCCCACATACAGCAACTAGAAGGATGTGCAGCTATGACATACAACTATCTACTGGGGCTTTGGGGGAAAAATAAAGAAATAAAATCTTTAAAAAAAAAAAAAAAGAAAAAATTCCTGTTTATTATCTTCTGTCTTGTATTAATTTTATCTGAAATTTACCTTTAACTGTTGTACCCAAAAACATAATCTCAATAAACTGCTATTTTTTAAATGACCCTCCCCCGGAAGAGTAGTAGGCTAGTTCCTGTTTTGAGAAATAGACCAGTGGTCTTTCATATGTTTTTTGAACAAGTACCCCCAAAATACCTTTGAAAAACTCTGTACTCACTTCCACATTTTCAGATTGATATTAAAAAGTTTTCATCATAAGTTTAAACATTTGCCAAGGTTGTAATTTCTAACATATTGTAAATAATGACTTTTTAATAAGCTTTTAAATAACTCTTAAATCTGTCTAGTAAAAGCTAACTATGGTAATTTGAAATCTACCATCATTCATTTAAAAGTACATAAACAAGTTGTTCTTTAACAGTGGGAAATTTTTATCTCATTCTTTTTTCTCCTTGAGCTCATATTCCATGCCACTCCTCCCAGAGAATGCTGTCCTACTGAAAATACAGGCAGTCCTCACTTTGCACAGTAGTGCAGGACCATAGAAATGACGGTGCAAGATTACTGTGCAAAGCAATCTTAATAATCAGTGGGAAAAATTATAATTGTCCTGTCCTTTAACTTTTTTTTGTCAGGACATCAAAAATTCTCTTACTGTCAGTTATAAATGTATAGGAAAATGAAAAACATAGTAAGACCAATATTTACTTAGTACATTGCAATTATAAACATGAGGAATTAAAGTATTTAATTTCTTTGTAAAAAACTTATCAAGAGTAGTTTGAACAGTTCTTGCCTTCTTTTTGTCATATAACTTACAATACAGAGCAACCATCTTTCTATACGTGGGTGAATTCTCATACTTCTAAGTTTGGATCAGCTTCTAACATTTTATCCTTCGCACTTTCAAAGTCATGAAGTATCTCCAAGAGGTCCCTGAATATGAAGTTCTTTGCCAGCATCACTTCTTCTGGGAGAACTTCATCCTTTTTGTCAGCAACCACTTTCCTCACTTAAGTCATGAAGTTCACGTGCACCAAGTTCCATTGGCTGCATATCCATAGTCTCTCCAATGGTGGCAGTGTCACTATTTCCATGGTCAGCAATTTCTTCTAGAACTTCATTATGTTCAATGCAAATTTCACTTGCACATTATCACTTTTCAATTCTTTGCTACACTTTCATTTTTATTGACCAATGCCCCTGTTTCAATGATCTATTTTTGTAAAATATTACATAGATTTATCACTGGCAGTCAAGCAGGTAAGACAACCACCAGCTTTGCTGTCTATATATGAACTGAATAACAGATGCCCAGTGACCAATCACCAATGACTTTGAAAGAAGAGACATGATTGGTCACTGATTATGATGCTCATGTGTTATTTATGTAGTGATTTGTAGACTGAAGAACTAGTGGGTGAAATTTGTATTTTATGCAATTACTCACAGTTAATATATCATAGTAATTGAAATTTGAACCCTGTTTAGGGGATTGGTGTTATTTAACTAAACCACGCTAACTGAAATTCATGCATATTGGAACCATTCAAAGAAAGGATTGTCTGTATATTTTTATACTTGAAAATCTTTTATTAATCACCTCTTAAACCTCTCTGCAACAAAAATGTACATAAATTAAAATTTTAACTGTTTTATGTCCTTGATTCTTAAGTAGTAAAAAATTCTTGGCTGATTAACATTAAAATTATTATTATATATATCGATCAAACAACAAATATGTTTAAATCAAAAGTAAAAATTTATCAAAAATTATTTCAGTCTGATGAATCAGGCTATTTTCTTTTCATTTAGACCATATATCCTTGGCTGAGTATTGCTTACTGCTGGAATGAGACAGAGTTTAGGATCAATGATATTCTTGTTTTTCATTTCTATAGATATTATCCCTGAGAAAATGTGTTCACATAGACAAGTAGATGAGAATGAGAGGAATTTTTTTTATAGCAATGCCACTCATTTCATGGATTCTTTCCAAGTTATTTGTCAAAAATGCTCTTTGACTTGTGTTGAAAACAAGAAATTGGAAACTTTCTGATTTGTAAAAGTACTTGTTACCCAGTCATTAGAATGTTCACTTTCTTATTTTTCAGGAAGCATACCAAAAAGGCTTTGCCAAGACACATCAACTCCAGGGCAGCCGCATACACCTGTGCTGTTGTGTACTGTACAACACCTGAGGACAGTGTTCACACTGCACTCTACTTGAGTGGAATGAGCTGGAATTGTGCATTTTTTTACTTAGCAGCAACTTAGATAATCCAGTATGTAAATGAAGTATACAAAATTTCCTGTATATACCTGCCATTTATACACATCGATAATGATATCACAATTAGCATATCAAACATTTAATGACATAGCAGTACTTCATGGAAAGATGTACTAATAAGGTAAAAGCATAAATAAAATTGTTATTTTTAGAAACCAAGAGTCTGTTGAAAAGTGAACAGTGATGTCAAAAGACATCTACTCCATGCCAAGCTCAGTATCTGCCAAGAGTCATTTATGTCTCATCTCCATGGTGGCTCTTTATTCCCTTAAGACTTAGATTCACAGATGGCACATTTGTTTTCTTGAGCAGTGTCATTAATTTATTTAACTTATGAATGCTAATTATATGTTTCTGAGTGCATCAAATCTGTTAGCATTTGCAGTGGTCTCTTTGATTAAGCATGTGATAAAGAGGAACTGCTCCTCTCCTGGCAAGTTGAAGCAGTCTATACTGATACCTGCTTTTTGGTCTTTTTTAAAATTGAGATATAATTCACATATAACTGATACACACTTTTAAGCAATAATTCACAACCAGAGTACATCAGGCAATGGAAGCAAAAGTTTTAGTTGTCTAAACAGCAATCTGAAATAACTCTGCACAAATGACAATATAGTGAATTCTATTATTCAGGAATCATTTATCACATGCCATTATGATTCTAGAAGCCCCTACTTTGAGTTAGGCGGAGCCTATAATATTTTCTATACATCAATTTGGGCATCATAGCTACAAACAGCCATCTCCAGACTTCAGTGACAAACATGGAAAGAATGCCCCATCCTCAATCGGTCACAATCATGTCCTAGAATGACAACGCCAACAATAACATCACTGTCAGTTATGAAGGACAAACTGTAATTACGATTAACTACAAAGTTCATAATTTTTTGAAGAAGTGTTAAGATACTAATTTCCAAATTGAGGTTGTGATGGAGAATTATGTGTAAATATCCTTTCATTATAACAGCTGACATTTATATACCACATACTAAGTGCTTTCACATTCATAATTTTATTTTATAAAATAACCTTAAGCTAGGTTGAGAAAGTATTGATATTTTCTGTGTTTTACAGATCAGAAAACTAAGGATCAGAGAAGGTTAGTAACTTGTTTAGGGCTTCATGGTAGATAAGTGGCAGAGATGAATCTTAAGCCTGAAACTAAATCTCACATACTTCTGTGCTAAACTGTTTACCAGATGTTGAGATAGTAAATCTTTAATTTTCCTTTCATTTTGGGTCCAACATATATTCCTCTACTGTGCTAAAGAATCACAATGCAAATTCCTACGTCTCCACCACAGAGAAGTCTGGGTGATGGTAGTGTTTGAGGGGTGCGACATAACCAGGATCCCGCATAATTCAATTGCGGTGGTCTGACGTAGAATTAAACTAAAACTACCCAAATGAGAATAAACAGATGCTATTTATTGAGATCTTGCTGTTGCAAGCAAGTTAGCCACCATCGCCTGTCAAAGGCAGTCAGGGGAGTGGGAAAGCGTTATAAAAGTGAAAAAAAGGGGGAAGTCTCAGGTATGCTCTGATTGGAGGCTGTTGGCCTGGGAAAGCAGGCAGCAGGCTACTAAAACAGTGGGTACTTTATGTGATGGGTTTGGCTAGCATATCTGGCTTTCTCTGTTGGTTCTCAGTTGGAAGTAGGGGTAAAAATAGGGAAGTTGGCAGTTGTTGACCAAGTCCTGACTGTTCTGGTCCAATTGCTGCAGAGGTGGTGGTTTGGCTTCCTGGGCTGCTTATGTGGTTCAGAGTTGTGTTGTCATATACGGTGTCACCATTGTCCATTTGTATGTTCTGTCTCTCAGATCATACTCTCTCAGATCATACTCGGAGAGACACACTGGGTCTCTGGTGTTCCTTTCATCCTTGTCTCCTTCCTCCCTTAAGGTGGCTGGACCATAAACTCCATGAGAGCTATGGACCATCTTTCACCACTCTATTACCAGTCCTATCAGGCACTCAGTAAAATCTTGCAAATGAATGAACGAATGATAAATGAAAATACTTGATACTGGTTTTTGCTGGAACAGGAAAATGAACGTTCTGGTGAGGCACGCGAACATCTTTATGTGACTGGACTGGCTGTCACCACGAAGAAAGACTGGAGGCTGCTCCTTCCAGCTACTCTGCTCTAAATACAGTAACCTGAATCCTTGACTCTGGCTGCTCCCAGTTTTTCTCAAAGCTTCCAGGTTAACCCATAGTGTGCAAATCAGCGCCAGAGGCTCCCTCCCGAGTGCTCTGCTGGAGGCGGGATGGCGTTCGTGGGAAAGCGGCAGCTACTTCTGGCATTTTGAAGGCAACCTCACCCCAGACCTTTAGGTTTGGTGCATTCTCTCCACACTTGCCCCTCCAGCTCTCCCCCACCATTAGGGCCTGGGCTGGTGAGAGCTACTGAAGGAGGGGAAAAGTGCACCCCCTTCCAGCCCCCATATAGGTTCTTAATGCACGACTCACAGAGTTTGTCTAGAGAGAAAACGCTGGAGGGGGTGTGTGAGAGAGACAGATCCAAGAAGAGAGGGGAAAGCTAGCGGCGCGGGCGGTCTCCGGAGGGAAGCCGTCCCACCTGCTGCGGGGGGAACCGCCGCTGCGCGCCCGCCTGCCTGCCCCGCCCCTGACCGGCCACCCGGGAGTTCCCGCAAGTGGCCCCGCGCCCAGGCCGCGCGGGGGGCTGTTCGGTTGGAGGCGGGGAGCAGCCGGGGCACCAAAATAGGAGCCGCTTGTGGGCTGGAGCTGCACTAGCAGGCAGCCTCCGCCGCGCCTCTTCCAAAGATGGTCAGAGGGTCCGGAGGCGCCCCCGCCCCCGCTCGCCGCTAGCCCGCGGACCAGCACCGCGTCCCGGAGCCGCCGCCGGAGG